GCTGTTTTTTTTTTTTCCCAAATTGTTTTTCTAATGATATACTTCAGGCCACTTCCAACTGTTCATTTGTTATGTGTTGCCCACCATGAAGCATGAATGCAAAAGCATTTCTTCTAAGCATTTACTATACCTCAGGCACTCTACTAAGCACTGGGAATATAAAAACAAAAAAAAAAAAGGGGGAAAGTCCTTGCCCTCAATGAACTTACATTCTAAAAGGGAAGAAAACATATATAAGGGAGTGATGGCTGGAGAACAGTTTGATTTGCAGAGTCACAGAAGTGGTCAGCTGATTCACAGGGCAGTCAGTTAATACATCCTTCTGATTAAACAGGTAGTATCAATTTGGTTCTTGTGCTTGGAGCAAGAGATGGGAGGGCAGGGAATGGGGTATTACATATATGGGTCCACAGAAGATGGTAAGATTGTCCAAGTTGATAGCTGGATGGGACATTAAGAATAATTTGGTCTGGAGTCCATTAGAGATAGTGGGCTAGGTAAGTTTGTACTTATCAATCACCAATCAACATGGCTCAGACCCAGGGTGGGAGTTCCAAAGCTTAAGTGGATTAACTTTCTCTGGGGCTTGGATTCTGGAAGCCCACTCTGAACAGGTGGGGAGAAGCAGGGCAGTAGCTAGAGGGCAGACGGCTCTCCCTGTTTCTCTGCTGATCTTTTAATGTCCCCCAATTTCAATTCTTCTGAGACAACAGTATTTTCTTTGACCAGCAACACCACATCACCACGAGTTATACTGGTGAGGTTAGCCAGGCCTTAGTCTAAACAAGAACCCGGTGGAGGTTTTAATCCCAGTCCTAATAGTGAAGTTCTTGCTAATTCATTCACTCTTTGGTTCCTCTACCAAACCACACTAACTAGGCCTTAATGTTCCTATGACAGGACAGCCTCCTCTGCTGGGAGGTGTTACAGTAACATATCTCTATTTGGAAGAGTAGAATACTCCTGGGCCGATTTACCCCTAGCTCTTGTGTAGGACACATAGCTCTTATGAGAAGTCCCAGAACAGTAAAATATACTAAAGAAGACCACCCCCAAAGAGATCACACAAACGGGAAAAGGACCCACATGCACAAAAATATTCACAGTAGCTCTTTTTGTGGTGGCAAAGAATTGGAAATTGAGAGGATGCCCATCCATTGGGGAATTGCTGAGCAAGTTGTGGTGTATGAATGTGATGGAATACTATTGTGCTATAAGAAATGATGAACAGGCTGACTTCAGAAAAACCTGGAAAGACTCGTACGGTCTGATGCTGAGTGAAGTGAGCAGAGCCAAGGGAACGTTGTACACAAAAACAGCCACGTTGTGTGATGACTAATATTGATAAACTTAACCCTTCCCAGCAATACAAGGATCTAAGACACCTCCAGAGGCATTGTGATGGAAAACGCTATCCACGTCCAAAGAAAGAACTACTGAAGTTGAATTGCTATTTTTTTCCTCTTCTGTTGAGTTTTGTTTCCTCTTTCTGATGGTTCCTCCTACTGGTTTTAATTTCTACTTACAACATCACTAATGTGAAAATATGTTTAATATGAATGTAAATGTATAGCCTATATCAGATTGTGTGCCGTCTTGGGGAGGGTGGTGGGGAGGAAGGGGGAGAAAAATTTTGAACTCAAAAGCATATGGAAGTTATTATTGATAAATCAAAATAAATAAAAAACCACTGGATTTTTCAGGCTCCTTTGGTGGTGTATTAACTTTCCATATTGGTGTCAGGTTATACTTTGCACTGTCTACCCATAGTCATTAGTCTCTGGTCCTCCCCTTGGAGTCTGACAAGGAATCCATATTTCTATCTTGCTACGGCTGTGTGGACCATAGGTTACAATTTCAAACAAGCAATAAGCATTTGTTAAATGGCTCGTTTTGTGGCTAGATGCTGTGCTAAGCCCTGGGAATACGAAGAAAGGCAACAACAGTCCTTACCTTCAATGAGCTTACATTCTGAATTAAATGCATTTTCTGCTTCTCTGGCTCTTGGAGTAGTGAAGAGAGTATTAGCCTGGAAATTAGGAGACCCTATGTCTGGTTCCTGCCATGTCACTAATTGTGTGACCTTGGGGGTGTTCCTTCTTTCATGGACTACAGTTTCATTATCTATAAAATAAGATGTACTCAATGACCTCAGTTTTATAAGGTCCATCTCACCTCCAAGATTCTCTTTAGTTAGTTCATGGGAGACATCAAGGTGACGTCCTTTGTCAACCCAACAGTCCCAGATAAAGTAGCGCTATTCAAAGCCCAAAACACCCCAAGTAGGAGCACTTCTTTATTTTTTCTTCATTTTATTGTTATGAACTTTACAGAAATCAACAAACATGAACATTTCCTTATACAAACAGGGAAGGGGGAGGGAATAAGCATTTGCTAAGTGCCTACTATGTATGGGCCAGGCACTGTGCTAAGCACTTTACAAATATTATCTCATTTGATCCTCACAACAACCCTGTGAGGTAGGTGCTACAATTATCCCCTTTTACAAATGAGGAAACTGAGGCAGTTAGAGGTTACATGACTTGCCCAGGGTCACACAGCTAGTAAGCGTCTGAGGCTAGATTTGAATTCAGGTCTTCCTGACTCCAGGCCCAGTGCTCTATCCACTTTGCCACCTAGTTTCCCCTAAGAAGAAAAAAAGAGCACTACATATCAAACCACAAATCTCCATCATATACAGCTTGTTTTTTAGAGCAATATTTGTAAGATCTGAGATATTTGCAAAATGCTTTGCAAACCTTAAAATGCTACACAGATGTTAGCTATTTTATCATTATTTTTATTTAAATGCTAGTTCCAATCCTGCCTTGCTTATCTGTGTCCCCCAATTAACTGCCTTCCGCCCTCTTCTATTTTAAAATTGGTCATCAAAGCACATTTCTCTTTCTTTTTTTTGGGATCAAACCTGCCTAACTCTCCCCAAAATACACAAAAAAACCAAAGCCCACGGGAGCACTTCCTGTGCCCCCAAACCTCTAAGGAGAGGATTCAAGTAGAACAGGAAGACGGCTGGGAAGCAGATACGTGGACATCCATCTCCCTCCACCAGTCACTGGAAGAGGCTAGAAGTGAATGATGGGGCAGCATCAGTTCCTCGAGGTGTAAGGACTGACACAGTGGTTTCCGCTTTGGGCAAGTGATGGAATCTCTGCAGGCCTCTGCAAAGTGGAGCAGCTAGATTAAGTGATTCCTCAAGTCCTTTTCAGTTCAGACATCATGGGGTTTCAAAGGAAGTAGGAAAACACATCATTCTGGATCTCCCGACATCCCCCTAAGCTAAGCCTAAGCCTTCTAAACAGAGCTTTCCACAAACTCAGGAAAACTACTGATGCCCATTTGGGTCCTATTTCTCACCCCACCCCACCCTTTTTTTTTTCTTCTTGAAAACAAAACTCTTTTTATTCCACAAAACAGTGCTGTTACGAATACTGTGGTGTGTATCAGACCTTTCTTTCCATTTCTAACCTCCTGGAGGACATGCCCAACTGTGGGATCCCTAGGTCAAAAGGAATGTGCATTTCACTCACTTGTCCATAATTTCAAATTGCTCTCTAAAGTGGCTGAACCAACGATGGATTGGCCGTCCTGTCTTCCTACAGCCACTCCAACGTCCGCTTTCCCCATTCTTGTGTCCCCTTTACCTATTTGTCTGGCAGGTCTCATTTTCGAGCGAATCCCCAGGTGGAGCAGGAGACGGTGAGTGTTGTCCGCCACGTTGCGGGCTATGGGATTTTAGTTTCTCTGCACTCCCACTGTCCTCGAGGGTGTCTTGCATGTAGGGACAGCACTTCGGGATCATTCTTATAGGCAGGCAGACGAATCCCCTCAAAGGCGGCTTGGAACTTGCATTTTGATTCTGGGCTAGTTTAACCAGCAACAGCATTGTTTTCCTCCCCAGCACTATTTCATCTCTGGTTCTTCACCGCCTCTGCCCCTCCAATGAATCAAAAGGTCACTGCAACTCAAGTTTTAGGCCTCCTACATCTCCCCTGATTTCCAATGAGAGTCTAGTATTCCCCTACAATACTCGGAAAATTGATTTAAAAAAAGTTATTACCCATCTACATTCTTTAATGGGATTGGAATATCACTAGCAAAAAAATAATTTTGGATTTTTCAGCGCCTCCCTAGCTAAACCATCTTCCCTAGTCCTGTTCATGGTGTCGGTTTAAGTGAAGTTTACGGACTGCACCTGAGAAGTCTCCGAAATAGAATTTCACCCTCAATTATCTGCAAGGCCTAGGCTTATACACTAGTCACGTAAAACTAGAAATACCAGTAGGGCTTTTTTCCCTCTTTGACCAAAACCAAAACCAAAACCAAACCAAAAAAACCCTCTGGAGACCAAGAAGCAATGATTAAGTGTGGGAGCCCTTAGGCCTAAGAACCAACCACAATAATAATCATAACATTTCAGAACATCTGTTGATGTTACTGGTATAAATATTGCCTCCACCAAAGTTGCTGATGATGCTTCCGTGCCTTAATAGAAGGGTCTTCGTGAGTTGCTGTGGCCAAGAAGACTTAATCACTTGGTGGCCAATCTTCTGGCCTCTTTGGACATGGGTAGGGGTAGTCTTCCTCTGAGAGGAGAGAAAATGCGTCCCTGGGCCCACAGGAGGTGTCTTTGCCTTTCTTTCTCGGTAAGATCTTGCAGACTTTATGTTCCACTGGTATATCCTCCAAGAGTCGAGGGTCACCTCCAAGCCACGAAGAAGCATAGGACTTTAGCAGAGGAATAATGCCAATACTTAAGAGATTTCAATGGAACTAGGACCTGATTTATGTGAGTACGCTATCCTATACTATTTCCTACATGTAATTCAGGCTGTTGTCTTTCTCCTAGTCAATTCTAGAACCTGTTCATTGTCCTCCTGCAGCATCTGTTCAAGATGGATCAGTTAAATGGACTATCTATTCAGTATGTTTTAGATGGAACAACAGACATTTTCCACGCATTTGGTTATTTCCTATGTAGCTAGTTAGGTCAAACATTTGAGACATTTTTGGATCTCATTCAGGAGGCTCTGCAGTTTCAAGGGGACTTGCATCAGTCAGCCACTGGGTACATCTGGAGGAACTATATCAACATAGAATCCCTTCCATTTTTTATCTGGCCCAAATGAATTGCCTTCTCAGGCACTGAATGAACTGGCAGATGCCATTACTCATTGTCTGTGATCTTTCAAAGACTGTGGAGAATGAGAAAGGTACCTCAGAACTGAAGAAGGCCAAATGTTGTCTCAATTTGAAAAAAAAAAAAAGAGAGACAGAAAAGAATGGAGTCTGCAAACTACAGGCCAGGAAATTCAACTGAATTTCTGACAAAATTGTTGTTAATAGTCATGATTTATGAATAAATAAAAAGCACTTCTTAAGTGTTTACTAAGTGCCAGGTACAAAAGGCAGTTCCAACTCTCAAGAAGCTTACATTCTAGAGGGAGAGACAATATTATATAGAGTGGGAACCAGGGAAAGGGTGCTATAATCTGGAAAATCACAAAAATACCAAGTGGAGGAATGGAGCAGTCCATTAATACCTCCTTTGTGGAGGCAATAGTAAGGGCAATTTGGTAAGAGTTTTTATTTTAGAGTTTTCAATGTGCTACACATACACTTTCTCCCTTGATAGCGATGGGATGAGGAGGAAATGTCTAGAAGAAACTCTCTTCACCAACAGCCAGTATGGCTTCATAGAAGAACAGGTCCCAATGCCCAAACTGATTTTCTTTGTTGGCAGTGTTACTAAAACTCGAAGACTGATGCTGTAAATATATTATGCTTCAATTCAGCAAAGCATTTAACAAACTGTCCTTGTTATTCTTGTGGAAAAGATGCAAGATAATAATACTGTTAGATGTACTTGGAATCGGTTGAATGGTTGAACCTAAAGAATTGTCATTGAAGGCTTCTTTACAGCTTGGAAGGAGATGCCTCAGACACCCGTGTTCGGCCCTGTGCTATTTAGCATCCTCAACAATGACTTGGACAAAGAAGCAGAGAACGCATACTTATCAAATTTGCAGATGACGCAAAGTTGGGAGGGAGGGGCAGCACAATGGAAAATTGAGTCAGGAGTCAGAGAGCTTTTGGCAGACAAGAACATCGGGCTGGAACAAAAAAAATGATATCTAATAGAAATAAATGAGAAGTCTTAGAATTGGTTTTAAAAATCAAGATGTTGGAAGGAATCATGGCTAGACTCAGTCTTTCTGAAAAAGATATGTTTTAGTGGATCTCAAATCAATGTCAGTGAACAGTGTAACAGGGAAGCCAAGAAAATGAATACAATCTTAGGCTATAGTAAAAAAGGCCCAGGGTCTAGGGATGAACAAGGAAGTGGTAGACCTGCTGTACTCTGCCCTGGAAGCTATAGCTGGAGTATTATGTTCACTTTTCTAGGATGTGATCCTGGGTGAGCCACTTAACCTGTCTGCCTCAGTTCCCAGTTTACAAAATGGGGATAATAAAAGCACCTTGCTGGTTGTGAGGTTCAAATGAGATTGTATATACAAATAGAGCTTTGCAACTGTAAAGCACTACCTAAATGCTAGTTATAATTCTTATCATCATTACTGTGGGCACCACAAGTTAGGAAAGACGTTGCTAAAGGCTGGACGGTGTCCCAGGGAGGGCAGCCAAGGTGATGAAGTGCCTTGAGCTCATGACATGAGGACGAGCTAAAGGAACTAGAAAAAGCTAAGACTGAAGAGCTGTCTTGACGTGAAGGAGCTGTCACACTGAAGAGGGATTAGACTTATTCTACTTGGACCCCAAGGAAGGAATTGGAAGTAACAGGAGGGAGTTGCCAATTTAGGCTAACCAGTGACTGGAGCTGTTCACAAGCAGCACGTGGCTGCCTTAGGAAGGAGTGCGCTGGATCCCCCGAAGTCTTCGAGCAAAGGCTGGATGGACGGCCACTGTCAGGAACGCTGCAGAGGACACGCTTTTCCAGCTATCGGCTGGTTTAGCTGGCTGCTGACGTCCTTTCCACACTCCAATTCTGGGATCTTAACACATGTTCTGAAGATGTCTTGTTGAAAGAGAGCCTTTAAAAATTGCATTTTGCTCTGCTAAATCAATTACTTTTTTATAGTCAACAAACAAATATGGTGGAATCCTCTATTCTCCATCTTTTAGTCACATGAGAGACTATAAAGACGTACTCTGCTGTAGAGTACCATTTGGCAAAGTCTACCTGTTCTTGTCTATCTTCATCTGACATGCAAATTAACCTGAAAATTAGAGGTGAAGTGTAGAGATGAGAATGTAGGCTTATGAGCTTGTAATTACTGACAGCCTCTCAACTGTCCTTTTAGATAATGATAATGTCCGCGATTTCTTCCAATTTTTCAGCATCTCACATTTACAAAGTGGTTTCCTAACAATTCTACGATGGGATTTTTAGTGCAAACATTATTGTTCCTACTTTACAGATGAAAAGACTGAGGCCAGAGAGGTAAGGTAAGTCACAGTGGCAGAACCAGGACTTCTACCCTTCCCACTCCAGGTGCTCCTCCCCTAAAAAAAGTGGCTTCATTCATAACAAAATTCTCTCAAGTGTTCCAAGGAGCAGCTGAAAATGAGACAAAACCAGTATTTGGCTGTGGTCCGCACAGCCCCACAGACGCCCCCTGACCCAAGGCCGGCCAGGCTGTCCAGAGAGCGTGGTCGATGGGAGCCCGTCAAAGGCAGCTGGGGCTCTATCAGTCCCTAGCTTTGCTCCTTCCTTCCCTAACTCTCCTCTATCCCTAGCTCCAGACTTATCTTGGGCATGGACTCCACATTAACCCTGTGTGGGCTATGATCCCAAACAGGGTCTTATGAAAGAAAGTGATGGAGTCAACAGATGAAAAGTCCTCAGTCGCTAGTAATCATTGCTTTGCTGGCTGAGCACACTTCAGAGAACTTTGATGCCCTGCCTTGTATAAGACATACTAAGGAGGAGCCCTTACAAAACTGTAGAAGAAAGAGGCAAATGACTTTATAAATTAAGCACTTACTTTTTTACTTTAGGGAACTATTAAATTTCAATCGAAAAAATCATGAACATAATTATACAGCATATCACTGGGATTCTGGATGCTCTAGTCTCAGTCCCAGTCTTCATCCTCGTCTTCATCCTCATCTCCATTCCCATCAGGGTTATCTTCTGTCGGAGGGTCCTGGAACTGGATGTTGGCCAGGAGGTCTCGCATGGCTGCCATCAGCCTGTTCAAGCCCTGGTCGAGGTCCTCTTCTGCACCAACCGGGTCTATTTCATCCGGTGTTTCTTCTCCCTGACAGAAAAAAGAGGTGGGAGGCTGAAGACGAAACTGCTGGATGAGAAGGGGCTTTCTGTGGTACTTGGATGTGCCCTGCTCTGCCCTATGTAAGGACAGGCTCAAAACGTTTCCATTATAATAAGACATGCCATGCACTGGCACCAAGACAGAAGAGGGTTTTTGCTGAAGAAAATGCCTCTCTCCACAGATGGCACTTCATTTCTAATCTCTGAGGAAGGCCAAAGGTGGGAGGGATCAAAAAAAAAAATCTCAAAAATCAAATACAATTAAAAAAAAAAATCTAAGAAGCACTAGTCTGTTTCCCCTAGATATTTACAATGACAAATTATAATACTGGGAGACTTCAAAGTAAATCTAAAGCTTCAAAGACAACTTTCCCTATTAGCATTTGCCAAACAGAAAGGTTCTCTGCTGCACTATTCTAATCAAACATAAGTATGATTGCTCATACCACTTATCGACAATCCTATATTGTGATCCAATAACTTCAGATATCTGTGTATTTCTTCTGAATTAGGATGTAAGCCCCTTAAAGCAAGAGTTACATCTTAATCAACCATTCCATCCAAAAAAGACTCATTTGTTTAGTGGATGCACTGTGGTCAGGATCTTACTGTAGTCAGTTGTCAGGGATACGAGGAGCTTGCTTCTTTACCAACCTCCACAGCACCCAGCACAAAGCTGCGTCCACAGCAGCTATACCATTCCTGTCACCCTGACTGAGTTTGGTCTGAGAAGAGCAGAAAGTAAGGATGTGACAGAAATGGCACCAGACTCACTTAACATACCTGAAAGGTAAAATTTGGCAACAATGATCGAAAGAAGAGAGATAATGTGCTTTCATTGGAGTAACGGTTTGCCCTGCAATAGAAAACCAGAAAATGTCAGAAAGTCATATTTTTTCTTCTTCTTCTAAATGGACTTGTGCACCATGTGGATTTCAGTATATTAGCATAGCCTTGCAAATAATAATCTAAAAAATAATCCTACTCACCGGGACAGTTCACCCTTTCTGCTCCTGCCCCCAGCAGGGAAATGAAAGGCAATCATAAGCAATGGGCGGCATCAGTAGCAGTGAAATAAGCAGGAGAGATAAAAGGAATTTGGACAGAAAGCAACAGAATGGACCTTTGGCCAAAGGATGCTGCTTTCTAATAAGTGACTGAATGGAGCTGGGAGCACCCAGGATTTGCAGAGGGAACATAAGGTACAGATATTCACATGATATATAGATATTCATACATAGAGAGTAGGAGTGAAGGCTTACATTCTAGGCTACATTAGTTTCATTCTGGTGGAGACTCACATACATCACCCCAAAGGACAAAATAATTCTAAGACTAGGTAGAAGCTAGGGTATACCAATGCTAAGCATAAAGATTTTCCATTATTTAGTATTCTTAAAAAAAAAAAAGAATATACAATTTACAGCATTTGAAACTTACAAAACTGATAAAATAGGCAAAGAATTTGTTTTACAAAGTCAATGGATTCAATATCCTAGCAACAAGGACCTAAAAAAAGACCAAAGCTCAGAAAAAAGAGATAGAAAGAGAAATTCCTTTTAAAATAACTCTAGACAATATAAAATATTTGGGAATCTACCTGCCAAGACAAACCCAGGAACTATATGAACACGATTACAAAACATTTTTCACACAAATAAAGTCAGATCTAAACAATCGGAAAAATATCAACTGCTCATGTGTAGGCTGAGTTAATATAATAAAAATGACAATTCTACCTAAATCAATTTACTTATTTAGTTCCATACCAATTAAACTACCAAAAATTATTTCACAGAGCTAGAAAAAAAAATAATAAAATTCATCTGGAAGAACAAAAGGCCAAAAATATAGAGGGAATTAATGAAAAAATATGCAAAGGAAGGTGGCCTGGCCATACCAGATCTAAAACTATATTATAAAGCAGAAATCATAAAAACTACTTGGGGCTAAGAAATAGAGTGGTGGATCAGTGGAACAGAGTAGGCACACAAGTCACAACAGTAAATGACTATAGTAATCTAATGTTGGATAAACCTAAAGACTCCAGCTTCTAGGACAGGAACTCATTATTTGACAAAAACTGGAAAACAGTGTGGCTTCTAGGCACAGACCAACATCTCACACTGTATACCAAGGTAAGATCAAAATGGGTCCATGATTTAGACATAAAGGGTGATACTATAAGCAAATTAGCAGACCAAGGAATAGTTTATGTCAGATCTATGGAGAAGCGAAGAACTTATCACCAAACGAGACAGAGAACATTATGAAATGTAAAATGGATCATTTTGGTTACATTAAATTAAAAAGGTATCATACAAACAAAGCCAACGCAACCAAGATTAGAAGGAAAGCAGAAAGCTGGGAAACAATTTTCACAGCCAGTGTTTCTGGTAAAGGCCTCACTGCTCAAATATATAGAGAACTGAGCCAAATTTTAAGAATACAAGTCATTCCCCAATTGATAGTCAAGAATGTGAACAGGCAGTTTTTAGATGAAAAAATTAAAGCTATCTATAGCCATATGAAAAAAAAGCTCTAAATCACAATTAGTAAAATGTATATTAAAACAACTTTTAGGTACCACCTCATACCTATCAGATTGGCTAATATGACAGAAAAGGAAATAATAAATGTTGGAGAAGATGTGGGTAAATTGGGACATCAATGCATTGTTGGTAGAGCTGTGAACTGATCCAATCATTCTGAAGAACAATTTGGAACTATGCCCAAAGGGCATTCAAACCATGCATACCCTCTGATCCAGCAATACCACTATTAGGTCTGTATCCCAAAAAGATCACGAAAAAGGGAAAAGGATCCAAAATGTCATACAACCACAAAGGACATACAGCTCTGATGTTTAAATGACAAATGCCAGAGCTTTATGTCCTTTCTGGGATGCCATATATTACAATTTGCTTTGTCTTGCACTGGTCCCATCCAAGTCTAAGCTTGGGAGGAAGATGGTCCTCCATGGTTCTACTAACAGTGCTACTGTGCTGACCTATCACTGCCTCAATTTATCTTCTGGTTATTTTGACCTATCCTCTGCCGATTCTGCATTGTGGTGTTTTGTTTTTTTTATAGTCATCTTCTTCCTGTAGCATCTGGCTAATTTCATGTACCAGTCCCAAGGGCCAAGGATCACCTAACTTTTCCATCTGTCATTTCTTTTCCTGAATCCCTGATATAATATGCTTGGAGTGTTACATTCTTAAAGTTAATGAAGTTACTGTAAATATCATAAAAGGGCCTCAACCAGCCTCTGCTCACTCCAGCCCATACCCAGTTTAACCACTTGGTCACCATAATACTTCCCCTCTCTTAACAAATCCAATAGAATAAGGATAATCAACAAGCAAGACAAGTCAGCAAGCATTTAAGTGCCTACTATGTGCCAGGTACTGTGCTAAGGGCTGGGGATACAAAGAAAGGCAAAAAACAGGCCCTGCCTTCAAGGAGCTCACAGTCTAATGGTGGAAACAACACAGAGTTATGCACAAACAAGGTAAGAAGGGATAAATTGCTGGTAGTCTCGGAGGGAAGGCACCAAGATCATGGAGGACTAGGGCAGGGATCTGTGACTTCACTGCTATAGTGAACACTTGGATAAGGAGATGCCTGCAACCTCATAGTGTCAGAGAGTAGTTTGGAGCAGTGAGGAGTTCAGGGATTTGCTCAGGCTCTCACACCAGTGTGTGTCAGAGGCAGGCCTTAAACTCAGATCACACTGGCTTCAAGGCCAGATCCTCATCCACTACGCAGCTTTGCCTCAACAAATGTAGAAGAATAAATGACTACTGCACATAAGAAATAGAGTATGTGGTCTAGAGTCCCAAACTGGTCCCTGGCTATTGGGCTGCACTCATCCCCTAGTGTATCATTTCACCTGTCATTTCCTCTCCTGTGGATGTCATGAGGTCACCCTTTATATAGTTTATTTTTTGTTTGTTTTTGAGAGGCAGAGTCAAGTGACTTGCCTAGGGTCACACAGGTAGTAGGTGAGGCTGGATTTGAATTCAGGTCCTCCTTACTCCAGGGCTGGTGCTCTACCCACTGTTCCATCTAGCTGTGTCCTTCCCCCCCAATCCCCTCTACTTTCATATACTGTACAGGAAGGGATGGGAGGGAGGAAGAAAAATTTGGAACTCATTATTTTGTCAAAATGAATGTTAAAAATTATCTTTACATGTAACTGGAAAAATAAAATACTATTTTTAAAAAGGAGAAAAGGACCTACAAGTACAAAAATATTTATAGCAGCTCTTTTTGTGCAAAGAATCAGAAATTAAGGGAATGCCCATCAATTGAAGAATGGCTGAACTAGGTGTGGTACATGAACGTAATGGTCTATTATCGTGCTATAAGAAATGACGAGCAGGCAGATTTCAAAAAAACCTGGACTTACATGAACTGATGCTGAGCGAAGTGAGCAGAACCAGGAAAACATTACACACAGTAACAGCAACATTGTTTGATGATCGACTATGACTGACTTAGCTCTTCACAGCAATACAATGATTCAAGACAATTTTAAAAGATTCATGATGGAAAATGCTCTCCATATCCAGAGAAAGAACTATAGAGTCTGAAAGCTGATCGAAGAACATTCTTCACTTTTTTTTTGGTGGCTTTTTCTCTTTTGTTCTGTTTCTTCTTTCACAACATGACTAATATGGAACTGTTTCCACGATTGCACATGTATATATAACCTGTATCAGACTGCTTGCTATCTTGGGGAGGGGAAATGGGAGGGGGGGATGGAGGAAAAAAATGTGGAACTCAAAATCTTACAAAAAAAATGAATGTTGAAAACTATCTTTACATGTAATTGGAATAAAAAAATGCTATTAAAAAAGAAAAAGAAAGCTTCGATTGGCACCTTCAAAGGTAGGAGCCACACTGCTGCATCACCAATCCTTTCAACTCCTTAAATATCCATTATGGGTAAAAAGGAAATAGTTAAAGATACAAGCATTAATAATAAAGAATTTGATGATGAAACCAATATCTATAAGCCCAGTAATGATACCAAATCCCAATTACAGAAGCATCATCAGACAATACACATTTATTAAGCACCTATATGTGCTATTTGTTGTTCTGTATACTGTGTCCATGATCCCATTTGGGGTTTTCTGGGCAAAGAAGCTGCAGTGGTTTGCCATTTCCTTCTTTAGCTCATTTTATAGATGAGGAAACTGAGGCAAACAGAGTAAAGTGACTTGTTCAGGGTCACATGGCTAGTAAGTAAGTGTCTGAGGCCAGATTTGAATTCAGGAAGATAAATCTTTCTGACTTCAGGGCCAGGGCTCTCTCCACTACGGTGCCACCTAGCTGCCCCATGTACCAGTACCAGCACTATACTAAGTGCTAGGGGTACAAAATAAAGGCATGACAGTCCTGTCCATAAGGAACTCATAGTCAAATAAGGGAGACAACATACAAACAACTATGGACAAACAAGCTAGAGACAGCATAAACTTATGGAGAGAATCAACAGAGGGAAGGGCTCAAGAAAGACTTCCTGTCGAAGGTGAGATTCTGATGAGGAAAAAGAGCATTCTAGGCATGGGGAACAGCCAGAGAAAATGCCTGGAGCCAACGGCATGGGATGTGTTAGTTACAAGAAGACTGGAAAAGTCTGTGTGTTGGGGGGGGAAGAGAAGAAATTATAAAGGACTTTAAACTTCAAATATTTCATATTAGATCCTGGAGGTCATATGGATTTTGGGGGGGGGGGCAGGGGGAGTTGCTGACATGATCAGACTTGTGCTTTAGGAAAATCACTTCAGTGGCTGAATGGAAGATGGATTGGAGTGAGGAGAGACAGAGGCAGGCAGAGCCACCAGCAGCCATTGTGATAAACCAGGTGTGAGGTGATGGCAGAAGGGTGTTAGGCAGGGGGCAGTGTCAGAGGAGAGAAGGGAGTGAAATTGACAGTCCTTGGCAACAGATGTGATATGAGGGAGTAATGAAAATGAGATGAGAATAACACCTATTTTTCAAGCTTGGTTGACTAGGAGGATGGAGGCGCCTTCAAAAGTAATAAGAAGTTTGGATGTAGGGGAGGGTTTGTGGGGAAAGATAAAGAGTTCATTTTGGAGAGTTTCAGATGCTCGATATCATCCATTTAGGTTTGCTTCTAGAGATTCTAATTTATCTTGTTTGTTATACTACTAAATTTAATCATTGCATGGTTCCAACAAAATTACAAAGGCATTTACTAATAAACACAGTATTGTGAATATTACAACAAACTTCTCTAGCTTTTAAAGGAAAAATATGATTAACTGAAATAAACCTAAAATAATTCTGGCTTATGCAAGTAAAAGGGAAAAAAATTACTGCGAATCACCATATAAAGTAAATTTTTAATAATGTTCCCAATTAGAAAATACTTATTGAATTGCAAACCATTATAGCCTTCTCCTTAAACAATATATTTATGTTAGATTCAGAATGAAAGATATCTGAAAATTATTTTTAAAAAATAGCCTTTTCTAACTTGATACCATTAAACCGTAGGCATTAAAAAAAGCAACACATAATTCCAAAAAAGTTTTGTTTAAAGAGAAAAGTTCCACTGCTATAAAAAACTGTGAGAACTGCTGGCCTTGACCAGGGGAGTATCATTGTAGGAAGTGAACGTGTGGAGCCCTGGGACAAATCTCTGTGGCCTGAGAGAGGTGGGAGCAAGCACAAGAACCCCCACCTTCTCCCCACCCCTCAACTCCCGGTAAGAAAGGTGTTTCAGATGACTCCTCCATGCTCTAACAGCCAGCAGCACAGCATGGACCTCCACGTTACCTTATCCTCCTCCTTGCTAACAGCATGAAAAATTAAGCACTTTCAACTCCTTCTATTGGAAGATTTGAAGGGGAAAAAAGGAATCCCTTCTCCCACCCCTTTGGAAACTTAGGTACAGTTTTAGAGTAACTGTCAAAGGAACAACTGGATTCTCTATGCAGAAATTTGCTTCTTAATTGTTACTGCAATGTATCTACTGCATTAGGATATCGGGATATCTGTACTTGAGTTTCTCCTGATAGATGAAAAATCTACACGAGTAACATACAGTTAGAACCACAGGAGTAAGTGAGCTCAAGAAACAGGCACCTGAAATTGTAGTAGGTGAAAACTGGAAAAATACTGCTGGCCCAGCAACTCAAAAAGATGTTCACAAATACAATGGGAATGCAGTCTAGAAAGAGGAATTCTGTTACTCAGGTTATCAATTGATCTCTGCCCAATCAGTGACTCTTTTCTTGTCTCTCTGTCCCCTTAAAGCCTATCAGGTGATTTCTTTTCCCCTCTGCTTTTGTCAACATGGAGGAGAATAAAAGCAGCCGCGCGAGCAAGAAGGCAAAGGAAAAGGGTGGAAAGGGTACCTTCGAGGTCTGGTGTAGGAAGTGATGGAATCCAGGGGAGGCAGAGGGTCAAACCCCATCACAGGCTGGGATGTCACTTCCTTCAGAAAGGGATACAAAAAGGAAATACCCAGGAAGGCTGTTAGTCTGCCTCAACTGGTCTCTACAATAGAACATTTTCAATAGGACATCAAATTCAGAGCAAAGTCATCCACTATCTACTGGGTTCCCTCAAAATCAGGCAGCTTGAGCCCCTGCTCCCTGGAGTGCGTCTGTTGCTCTTGGGATGGGGTGGAGGCGCATGCTAGGAGAGCAGGAGATGACAGGGCCAAAGACTTGTGTTAAGGCCTTTCCTTCAACTCCACTGATATAGCTTGCCATTCCCACTTTTCCTCTCAGCACACATTCTGGATGCACGGACTGCCAAGGTGTGGGTGTGGTTCTGTGTACTTGGTCGTCATTACAGTAAAAATCATCACGGGTCGTTTTCAAGACACTTTAGGAACACTGGCCTTGCTGGGAGGTGTGTCATCACCCCACTTCACAGATGGGCACCAGAGCAGCTAAGGGACTCAGCCAGGATCAAACATCTAGTCTGTACCAGCGGCAGGATTTTCACCCCAGCCCTTCTGATTCCAAGTCTAGCATTCTATTCACTACACCACCGGCCTTTCCTACACTGAGCCAGTCTTACAGACATGTGAGCTATCTGCTGCAAAGCGCCAAGTCCTGCTGGCTGCTGCCCAATTCCGAGAGAAGGGAGAGGCAGAATCCTTTAAGGACTTCATACAGCCACAAAGTCTTTGCTGCTGTCAAATCAGTGATTAATAAAACATTGACTGGAGTGAAAGACCCATTTTGGGGGAGGGAGAAGTTAGCTATAATGTGCATGTGACATTGTAGATACATACAATGCCTTCTTTTTCAGCTGGTGAGGATCCTTACCAGAGGCAGGGCTGCGGTGGCCTCCTTCATCTCAGAAAGGATCACATGGCGATAGATATTTCTGGGGGCACTCTGGTACCGGACCTTCCGCCTAAGAAGGGAGGGAGAGGGGGACAGAATAAAGACCAACAAATGAAATAACACATTCTGCAGCACTCTAGCAAGATGAGCTCTGGAGAAGACGATGTTCTTCTGCTCAATGCCATAGGCTTCACACTTGCTCAAAGAGGCATCAAGACTATCCCATGACAGCAGCTTTTATTTTTCCAAGTATATAATTAATCATCAAAATGAAATGAGCACTTAAGTGCCCATAAATATGCCTGTCCTTCAGCCAACGGCATAAAAAGTCCCAATTTCAAGTTCCACAGAGGTCTTGCTGGAGGGAAGGTGTGTACTTTATAGATAACATCTGCTTCTGGGAAGCAGTCAAGTACATTTTCCTGGCAGTGGTGATGTTAGCTATGATACTAGCAGGCATGCTTCCTGAAAAATACACAGAGCAACCTCCGAGACATAACCTGTACGATACGGCAAATCCTAAAGTTGCATTTTTCCTATCACAGACAATACATATTCATAAAGGATTACTATGTCACCACCGCTAATACAAAGTCAATTAGAAAAGCCAAACATATGTCTAATGATTCAAAACTCGCAATGGGTTTTTCTTTCAATTTGTGATGATGATCTAAGAAAGATCCAGCAAGGACATCGCCCCCCCCCCCCAAAGCATTTGTTTAGTATTGAGCTAATGTACTTATCATGCAATATTCTGAATTATAATTACTTTGTAAATACAAAAAGGTGTGTGTGTATGTGAAAACACACACCCATACAGCTACACACATTGCTCTCCTATTCCCCAAGATCAGCGATAGCATCTAACCCAAATCTTGCTTTTTCCTCTAGTAAACTGGGCAATATTCTAAATACGGTAAATACAGAGGCAACATTTCTTAAGTCATTTGGCACAAATCCATCAATTTTGTGCAGTCTTCACCTGGCATAGAAAACAAAGCTGCGGGTATTTATAAACGAAGGTAGAATGAAAAAGAAAGATGACTGGTGTTTATCTTATCACACAAGTTCTTAAGGAGCAGGGATAAGTTTAAATGTCCATTTCAGTAGGGCCCACATTAACAGATAAGGAACAAAATAGTTTCTGTTTTCCTTAACAATAAATGAGCCAGACAGATGCTTTGACTGCCAATGTGAGCAGCCAACAGTTGGGCACAGAATTACTGACCTTCTTTCAGATTCTTCCACTATGGGTTCACCAGCATCTACTGTCTGCAGCACTTCTCTGACGTTTGTTTCTAGCCAAGCCATGATGGTAGAATCCTTCCAGAGAGAGTATGTCCTCCCAATGTAGAGGGCAACCAGCTGGGCCAAGGCAGGAGGTTGGCTATAGTAAAGAGACCATCCTGTAAATTAATCCATCATGGAGTCAGATCCTGGAAAATGCCCTCTAGTCCTTAATCAGACCCAAAGGCTTATGCCTTGATCTTAGTAAAAAGGTGTTGTTCAGTGTGTGAGCTACAATGTCCCCGACTAGTCTGAGGCAGGAGTGTCCTCAAGAGCTCACACCACAAAATAGGTTTTTAGTAAGCTCCCTAATATGTTAGAAGAGAAGGGATGTGAGGAACTGGAAACAAATGCCTCTTGTTCTTCCTAATCAAAGTGAAGAAAAGTACACTAAGTATTTTATGATTTCCTGTTTATTTGTAGGAGGAATAAATACATTAGAAATCATTCACTGTCTAAAGACTAAAGACTCCTTTGTGAGTTGAGATTTATTTTAGGAATGTAATAACAGCATTTTGTTGCCATCATCATACAAGGAAATGTAGCTAACCAAGGACAAGAGCTCAGCTTTGTCCTGTATACCAGAACACCTCAATCCTGTTCCTGCCACCCCTGATCCTCACCCTGTAACTTCTGCTTTGTCCCCACCACCATGGCATAAGTACAAGTGAAGATTCAGAGAACCCTTGGCCTGGCTAATTTAAATGATTTCTAAATTCAGTTTATAAGAATTGAGAATGCCAAACTGTCTGAGATCCTTGGCTTAGCTGAGTGTATAACCCTGTTTCCAGTTTGGATGCTGCCTGACCCAGAGCTCCTGAAATTTTCCTTTTCTTATTCAAAATAGCAACCATAGCAAGATCCATACCACTTATTCAAAATGAAAGAAGCAGCTGTGCAAATGTAAAGTGATATGGCTGGTATCTTTAAATTAAGTTCATTTCCAAGTTTTCTGAATGATAAACTGATATACACATCTCTCTTGGCAGCCAGGGAAAATCGGAGCTGTTGTCTAAACACACCCTCTGACAGGTGTCATCACACGAGCTCCTAGCACGTCATCAGCTGCCATGAGGAAGAGAGAAATACACAAGAAAAATACTTATCATTCTACCTCAGGCTATCATAAGCATGCAATGAATTTCATTTTTTTTTTTTTTACCTTATCTGAGTACTGAGTCCAAAGAAAGGGTGAGCTAAAACGGCGGCATCTGGGCGCACACTGCAGCGATCCAGCAGGGGCATGAGAACTGGAAAGGAAAGGCAGAGCTGCTGAGCCTGTTGTCACCACCTGTCCCTTAAGGCTGAACGCACAAGCTCACCACCAGCAACAGTGCAGTGGTGGCAGAAACCAATCTCTTGGATATCTCTTTAACCAAAGTTAAATACCCTCCTCAAGTGGCCAGCAGCACAGAGAAGAGCAGAGAGAGATGTGGCCAGGCTGTAAGATAAAGACAGAGACCTGCTGTCTTCCTTCCTGGTGGGGTAGAAACACCCTGTATCCACTTTCATGTCTGTCTAGTTGTTTGCAAGGGGAGAAAGTTGTAGGCCTCCAAGACTGCTTGGGATACCCCAAAGCCCAAGGATATCCTCATGTTCTGCTAAGGAAGTCCCTTTCCACATCTCTGACTAGAGGTGCCATATGAGGTTCTAAGAACGTGCAACCAAGTTGTCTTAATTATAAGGATCTTATGCTTAGTTTCAAGTTGTACGCAACATAGACCATAGGGAAAGATGTGCCTGGTAAGCTATGGGGTAGTTTAAATTTTTGTAGAACTGGACAAAAGCAGTGTCGGCTGGCACTGAGCTCCCCACTGACCCTATCTAACTAGTATCACATGCGATGTTGCTAATTCTCTCAATCCCTGTTCCATGGAAACTTCACCCATTGGCTTGGCATCATGGGAATTCATTTAGCCTTGCTCTGTCCTAAAGACATGCTTTCCAGCTGATTAGCTGTGGGGCTTCTTAAGTTGGCCACATATTCAGTCTGTAATGTGTAAATAACTGATGCCAGAAGGAGAAAACACAATTTTCAAATGTCTTCCCAGTAATATTGTAAGGCATTTCCAGTTACACAACTACTTAAGTAAAATAAAAAATATGGCAAACAGCAGACAGAACAGCTTAAACCAGAAGTTGCCATAAATCTGGCTCCCTTTATTTAAAAACAGAGCCAGATCCTTCCATGAAACACAGACAAATTAGTGGTCTCATCTATGTCCCTTCTGCTGATGACACAAGAAGGAAATAAGCATTACTATGTGCCGGGCCCTGTGCTAAGTGCTTTAAAAACAACAAAAAAATCTCATCTGATCCTCACAGTAACCCTGCAAAGTAAGTGCTATTATTATTATTCTCAGTTTTGCAAGTAAGAAAATTAAGGCAAATAGAAGTTAAGTGACTTGCCCAATGTCACGTAGCTGGCTAGTAATTGTCTCAGGTTCGATTTGAACTCAGGTCTTCCTGAGACCAGGCCCAGCACACTGTGCCACCTAGCTGCCTCTTTCTTTCCCTTATCTGGCACGGATATGACTGTAGTCAAGAGGGATTTTGAAGAACAACCCAAGAAAACTGCTAGAATAGAAACTTTCACAGCACATGAGTCTCTTAGAGAAGGCCAAATCCAGAACCTCTTAACCACGAAAGAGATGACTTATGGTCAAATCTTCAAAATCAAGCTGATTCCAAGGCACAAAAACTGGCATTTGATAGGTCACCTTTTGCATATGCACATAAAATATATGCAAAATATCCTACAGGGAACAACTAGAATTAATATTTAAAAATTCACTTTCCTACAAAAATTCCTAGTGACCATAAATAACGTCCTCATCCTACAACAGGTGATTTGTGCATGCTTTTCTGAAACATGCACTCAGGTCAAGAAAATGTCCAAATGATTTTTACAACCCATCACAAGTTTATCAGTCAACTGATGGCTGTGCTAGTTTTTGGAGAGGCTAACGAGGCTGGGCCAGGAAACACTGACCAGGGAAGGGGGAGGGGAGGGACGCATCCAGAATCACCATAGCCTTTTTACATCACACTGGAAGAAAGTATGAGATGGTGACATTTCCACACACCCCAAATCTGTCTGAATCTCAAACCAGCCACCCCAGTAAGGAAGTGTGTCCTTACTTTCTGCTTCGCCCAGGCTCAACCTCTATAAGGTACCATGTGTATCCAGAGTAACCAACCTTTGATAGCACTGCCTCGCTAAGTGTCTGTTCTCCTGCCACAAGCTCAGAGGATTACACAGAGTCACAAGGAAGTGAACTTTTAAACAATTCCATGGTTAGTGTTTGGCTGATCAGTCTTGTTACGTTTCTCAATTTAGTCTTTGGAAGGTAAACAGGGGTTCTATAAGAAAATTTCAATAGTAGTAATAGATTTTCTTCCAAAATATTAAATATGAAACACATCAAAAAAAGATAAGAAGGCTTAAGCTCCTTGAGGTTTGTATCATGTCTGGCTTCTTGTTACAGCAGCCTTGACAGTGAAATGGTGAGAGAAGAAATACAAGGAGGAGCCACTAAGTGACCACCTGTGGGCAGCCAAGTATGTGAGGACAGGGGAAGGTAGGTGGGTAGATAGGTGAATACATGGACACGTGCTTGCTGGCCAGATGCAGGTAGTGGGGAGGATCCCTCTCAAGGTGTCGCTGCCACTCCTGCCATTTTGGCTTTGTCTTGAAAATTTCCTATCCCAGTTGCTGGGGCCTATCTCCCCCTGAGCTTTCACTAACCGTCAGGCTTCTCTTCTCTGTGCCCCCACTGGAGCATCCTTGGGGTAGCTACCATCTTTCTCAGCTGCCAGCCCCAGTGATAGCTCCACTAACAAGGAGTTAACAGGCCAGCAAGTCTCTCTTGCCTCATTTCCAAAAACATACAGAAATGAGTCAAATTCACAAGAAGAAGAGCCATTCCCCAATTGATAAATGGTCAAAGGATATGAATAGGCAGTTTTCAGAGGAAGAAATCCAAGTTATCAACAACCATATGAAAAAATGCTCTAAATCACTAATTAGACAAATGGAAATTAAAACAACTCTGAGGTACCACCTCACACTCATCAGACTTGCTAAGCTGATAAAAAAGGGAAAATTTACAAATGCTGGCGGGGACGTGGAAAAGTAGGAACACTTACGCACAGCTGGCGAAGTTGTGAACTGGTCTAATCATTCTGGAGAACAACATGAACTATGTCCAAAGGGCTATAAAACTGCATACTCTTTGACCCAGCAATACCACTACCAGGTCTGTACCTCAAAAACATCAAAGAAAGGCATGCAGTAGAGAGAGCACTAGCCCTGAAGTCAGGAGGACCTGAGTTCAAATCCAACCTCAGACCAAACACTTGACACTTACTAGCTGTGGGACCCTGGGCAAGTCACTTAACCTCAATTGTCTAAAAAAAAAAAAAACCAAAAAACCAAAAAACAAACCATAGCAATTGTTTTTGTGGGGCAAAGAACTGGAAACTGAAGAGATGCTCATCAACTGGGGAATGGCTGAACAAGTGATGATATATGAATTGTGACAGCCAAGGCTGGAGGGGCTGTGGGAATACAGACCTATTTATACACCACTGGTGAAACTGAATTGGCATAGTCATTCTGGAAAGCAATTTGGAACTATACACAAAAAATTACTAACTATATACCCTCTGACCCAGCAAAACACCTAGTAGGATTATACTCCAATGAAATCAAAGAAAGAGGAAAATGTCTTATATTTATAGCAGCTATTTCTGTGATGTGGATGCTTATCAACTGGGGAATGGCTGGTCATATTATGGTAGATGAATAAAATGGAATACAACTATGATGTAAGAAATGATAAATGTGACAGTTCTGGAGAAGCTTGGGAAATTTTGTATAAGCTGATACAGAGTGAAGTGAGCTGAATCAGAAAAATTTCTACTCTAACATTATAAAAATGAATAATTTTGAAATACAAAGATGAAGAATGCTATCTACTTCCTGATAGAGTGGTGAAGAATGAAATATGCAGAATGAGACACGGTTTTGGACATGGCCAATCTAGGAATTTGTTTTGCTTGACCTAGCATATTTGTTACAAGGGTTTTGTTTTTCTTTTTTTCCAGTGGGAAGGATGGGGAGGTGTGAAGGAGGAAAAAAAATGCTTAACTGAAAAAAAAATTAATTAAAAGAAAAAATAGGGTATCATACCCTAAAGACTAGCTGCACTGCTAAGGAATATAATCATGCTCAGAAAACCAAGTCTTTTAAATAATGATATATGACTCAACAGAATCAAAAGCCCAACACATGCTTCTTTCCTGTGATCTCAGGATTCAGGAAGCACTGGCTTAAGGTTGCACCCAATAAGCCATGGGGGTGCTTTGCCTCTAAGGCATAAAGCAGCTATGCAGTTTCACAGGAACCCTGCTTGGAGCTTCCTGACTAGCGAGCTTAGCTTCCAGTGTGGCTCTTTGCTGGGCATGTTAGACAGGTACACTCCCTGCCTACCAAAGAGCTACCAAAACTTACCGCCAGGGAACATGATGAGTGCCTGCTGGATTAGGCGAGAGGCATTCTCCCTTGCAGAACTCAGTTCAACCTCTGGGAGATCATCTTGCTGACTGAGAAGAAAATGTGCCAGTGGAACAGAGAAAGCAAAATTTGGGAGCTGGGATAAGTTTCGATGACTCTATAAACGATAAAGAAATGAGATTTTTGACTTGAAGGAGGAGAAGACAAATACATATTAAGCCAATAGTGGATTATGCTACTGTGGATCAGCCTCTTCAGCAGACAGAGGTAAGGGCTCCACACTGGTTAAGGAAAACATCTTACTAGTCTGTTTTTATGATGAAAATCTTCTCTACCTAGGCCAAGGCTCTAACTGGAATAATGGGTCAAATTCAACAACATAAAATTTAATGGAAAAAATATCTTGCAACTGGGTACAAAAAAAAGTAGGATAAAAGAGACAGGGCCAGATTGCACTTCACATGGAAAGTTCTTAGACCTAAAATGCAAGCACACTATAAGTCACCTGTGTGCTATGGCTGCAAAAAATGTCAACCCAAGCTTAGACTGCATTAAAGAATGTCTAGTACTCAGAATGAGGGAGGTCATAATCCCCATTACTCGGTTCTGATACACAAGTGGACTGTTAAACTATTCAGCTCTTAGCATCACATTTTAGGAAAAGCACTGTTAAGCAGCAATGCATTCAGAGAAAGATGACCAGGATGTGAAAGAACTTTCAACTAGCCAGCTAAATTCTGGTTGGAAGAATTGGGACCATTTAAGCTGGGAAAAAAACTAAGGATACGATCACTGTCCTCAAATGTTGTTATTTAGAGGAATGAATAGGTTTGTTGTTCTGTCTGGCCCTAGAAATAACTACAGGAAGGCATATTTTCATTCAATATATGAAAAACCTTCCTACCAATAAAAGTTATTTATTAACAAAAGGTGTGAGTCACTTCAAGAGGGAGTCAAGTTCCCCATCACTACAGATGATATGGATAACCTTTGCTTCAGGAAGGAGATGAACTAAATGACATCTAAAGTCCTTTCTAACTTCAAAAGCAGTTACAGTTCTCAGTCTCCACTCCCTCATGCTGTTTGTTTAATTCCTGGGAAAATGCCCAGAACTAGACATGCTAGAAACTTCTGCAAGGCTTAATAATGCTATGGAACCTACAGGAACTTGGAGGAGTGTGAGAAGATGAAGACTGGTTCAGAGGCAGGGAGAAACATTATGGAGGCTTAACAACTACAATGACAAAAACTGACAGCACATTATTTAAAAAAAAAACCAAAAACCAAAAACAAAACCCTATAAGTATTATTATCACCTCCATTTTACAGATGGGAAACTGAGGCTCAGAGATGTGAAGTGATTTGCTCATGATGGGATATGAACCCTTGAATCCTGATTCCAGACCCAACCCTCAACCTATCACATATCATATACTCCCTAAATTGAGAAGCTATGTCAGTTCTTGACAATTCGGCTGCTTAAGAAAACAAAGGAGAATTTTAAGGAGGGAAGGAAAGAGGAAGATAGAAGGAAGAAAAGAGAAAGAAAGACAAATTCCATAGACAGGAGGATGTAATGGCCTCTCTTCACTTGAGGAAGACATACATAGCAAAATTATAGCCAATACACTGTCTAACAGACTCTAAAAAGATTCTGAAGCGCTAGAAGGATGGACTGGATTTAACAAGACAAAATTTAAGAGTGACAATGTGAAGTTCTGAGTTTGGAAGATCAATTCCATTAGCACAGTATGGGACAGCAGAAATATTTATGTTTGATGATAAGTTTTTAAAAAGGAAATTTAAATTTTTTAGAAAGAATTAATAAATTTTAATTGATGGCCATCAAAAATGAGCAGTATGAGATAGCTGTGAAAAAGGTTAATGCAATCTTCGGCTTTATTCGGTACGTGGTGCCCGGAACAAGGAAGGGGTTATCCCCACTACACTGGGGTGAGGTCAGAATGCACTCCAAGCACTGGATCTCTTCCAGGCACCACACTTTAAGGAGGACTGACAAAATGAAGTGTGTCTGGGAAGGCAATCAGGATGGTGAAGGGACGGGAAAGCATGTCCTAGGAAGACTAGTTGAAAGAATTGGGGATGATTAATCAGAGAAGAAAAGTTTAAGGGAGATACGATACCAGTCTTCTCATATATATATGTGTATATATATATGGTGATAATCAAACAGTGGGATTAGATCTAATTCCAGAGAAGAGAACTCAGACTTGGTTAAAAAAAAAAATTACAGTGAAATACATGATTTTCACTCAACCTGAGGAATAACTTTCAAGCAATTAGATTAGGGCTTCTCAAAAATGAAATTAATTATTTTAAGAGTGAGTGAATTCCCTGACAATGACAGTATCAAAGTAGAGGCTAGAATGACCACATGTCAAGAATGTTCCAAGGTCATTCATTCACGGGGTTGAACTAGATGACCTCGAGAGTCCTCTCAAGTACTAACATTCTGTGATTCAAAAATTCTTATGACTCACCTCCCATTCCTGGAACATTCGTATTAGGAACCCATAATCCCTGGCTCGTAAAGCCAGCAAATCAATAATCAGCAACAAGCAGAGGGGGTCATTGTCTGGATCGAGGCTTCCAAGAGAAGGGAAAATGGACAAAAGAAAGAAGCTGTTATGATCGTGGCACAAAAAATTAAATTACAGTTGCAACAAAACTCACAAAGTACAATTATTCAGCTCTTCCTTAGCAGGGTGAGTTCCTTCAACCATCTTAAATGAACAGATCACTGTACAGTTATTTTGAAGACACAGGATGTCTCATGTCTCAAATGGGCTTACAGACTGGCATACACCTCCATATGGACTGAGCTGTTAATAGCTAGATGTCATAACAAAGCAGCTGGAATCCAATAGCAGACATTTACCTTAGTATAAGTTTGCAGAATTCCAGGGCTGTTCGGGGACAGCCTCTCCTCTCTAGGAACATCATGTGCTTGAAGAGAACCAGGTAGAAAGCTCTAGATAAAGAAACAGGTTATGCAGACAGAGTTTTATTAAAATTTTGGCCAAATAATTTAAGTTCTCAGAACCTGTTTCCATCTAACAAAAAACAAAAAAAAAAAACAAAAAAAACAAAACCCCAAAAAACAGGGATAGTATATCTGCTCTGTTCCTTTCCATGGTTGTTGTGAAGATCAGATGAGCTAATCCATGTGAGAGGACAGTCAAAATTATCAAGTGCACAGAAATGTAAATTATTCATTATTTCACATGTGTGAGGTAAAGCAAGTTATAGACTTTATATTACACAACAGGATGTAAGGTTCTGATTTCTGACCCTCAAAAATTTCATTCTTTTTTCCTTAGAAGTTTTGATTCCAGAACTTAAAAGCAAAGAAGTGAGGAAAGTCACTTATTACTTATCTAACACTGACCTTTATTTTTGGTTCTAGCAGAGTGGGCGATATGTTTAATATAGGGAGCAGTTCTGCCAGAACTTCTTGTGAATACACTCCATGATGGGACAGATACACATTTTGCTTCTTTTACAACCTGTAGGTGATGAATATGCTACCAGACCTTCATGATCTAGAGCTCTAGAGAGCTCTGGATCTAAGTTTGCGGAACAAAATCAAAACACAGAAATGAGAAGTCACTAACCTGTTCTCAGTTCTTCGATAATCTAGTCTGCAGGTTCCACTGGTGAGACTAAACAAAGGGTGAAATGCGCATTCCAAACTGTACAAAGCTCTCTCTAAAAAAAAGAAAAATGCTATTAGGAGCCATTTTCATAATGTTCACCAAGTTAAAAAGTCCTTCGTAGCAGAAGTTAATGTGCTACACACACACACACACACACACACACACACACACACACACACACACA